CTTGATTTAGTATGATACTTGCCTAAATGAAGCTGATTTTTATAGCTCTAGTCCAAAAAGTTGGTTGAAGCAATAGATTTTGCATACAGTTATAGTTAAAAACACTTGTATATATTGGATTGTTGGCAACATGCCTGGTGACATCAAGTAACATTGTTCACCATCAATTTTCATTACAAATAAATAAAGTAAATAATAAAAAAAATAAAATAAAAATAAAAACAAAAGAACACTTTTGACACGTATATATTTTTTTTGTTCCCAGCATCTGTGTAACTATGGATACACTGTAGTATATGTAAAATAATTTAAGAAATTCACCATTATCATGAATGGCAAGTTTGAATTCAACTCATTGTTTAGCTTAAAACATAAAAGTTTCCATTTCTCTGAGCATTGTTTATAACTTAGCAAGATTTCTGATTTCACCAGTCTACAGAAATTCTGGAAAAAAAATATAACTATGCGACAATAAAAATCCAAGACATTACACAGTGCAAGGACATTCACTGGCCAAATAAGCACAAAGCTAAAGAAAACAGAAAGGTTGGTGCCAATCAATTTATTATTAATATCACTTCCTGTTTGTACCAGTCTATTAAATAATCAAAAGTAGTTACCGGTACCAAGGCACTGGGTAGTACACTACACCAGGTTTCATTTGTCCACCCGGATCATTCTAGCAGATTTTATTTATCTACTTTGGTCTTATAAGCTCTCACTTATCTACACAGGTCATTATATCATCTGTCATTTATCTACTTGGGTCTTATAAGCTCTCACTTATCTACACAGGTCATTATATCATGTCATTTATTCATTTTTATCACTTGCATTACTGTCAACTTTCATCGGTTTTCAAATTTCCTACTCAGGTCACTATACTTTCATTTATACACTCATCCATTTACTCACCATTTCATTTTTATCACTTGCATTACTGTCAACTTTCATCGGTTTTCAAATTTCCTACTCAGGTCACTATACTTTCATTTATACACTCATCCATTTACTCACCATTTCATTTTTATCACTTGCATTACTGTCAACTTTCATCGGTTTTCAAATTTCCTACTCAGGTCACTATACTTTCATTTATACACTCATCCATTTACTCACCATTTCATTTTTATCACTTGCATTGCTGTCAACTTTCATCGGTTTTCAAATTTCCCACTCAGGTCACTATACTTTCATTTATACACTCATCCATTTACTCACCATTTCATTTTTATCACTTGCATTACTGTCAACTTTCATTGGTTTTCAAATTTCCCACTCAGGTCACTATACTTTCATTTATACACTCATCCATTTACTCACCATTTCATTTTTATCACTTGCATTACTGTCAACTTTCATCGGTTTTCAAATTTTCCACTCAGGTCACTATACTTTCATTTATACACTCATCCATTTACTCACCATTTCATTTTTATCACTTGCATTACTGTCAACTTTCATCGGTTTTCAAATTTCCCACTCAGGTCACTATACTTTCATTTATACACTCATCCATTTACTCACCAGGTCACTATACTTTCATTTATACACTCATCCATTTACTCACCAGGTCACTATACTTTCATTTATACACTCATCCATTTACTCACCAGGTCACTACATCAGCTGCTACACACTAACTAACAATTTATGATGACAACACTGATATTTGTTGCACACTGACCGAGTCACATATTTCACACGATACAATGAAGGAAGACCCCAGATAGAAAAAACTTCACAGTGTGCTGTTTCCTGTAAACAAATATGTATAATAAACAAACTTTACCATCTGAAGCCTAAATTGCTGAAGACAAATTAAAAAAAACACACATTTACTATAGAATATTCTCTCTTTTTTTTTCTTGCAACTGACCATGTGAGAGCACTATTTACAGTTGAGCTGGTCAATCACAATATTTAAATAGTCAAAGTAATTACAAACGCAGTGCATGATCATTTTACATTTAAAATTCCTTATCTTATTAATGATCTTCTTATAACAATAACATAAATATCAATATTTTAAATTGAGTAAGTCGATGACAGAGGACGCTCTGATAATA